ATGAGTTTCTATAATGATCGGGGAAGTCCGAGTATGTTCGAGATGCCCTCTTCGTTAGTATATAAGCCTGGCAGAGAAAGCGAGCAGAGATGAATGAAGAAAGAGCAGTAGTTACTTTGACTTCCGAGTAATTTATGTTTCTGTTAGTTTCGAGCTAGTGAGCTGTAAAGTGTGTGTTTTGCACTCGTCGAGAGCAAAGTTATCGAGATTGTGAATCGCTGTGATTTATAGCATGTATTATAAAAGTTGTTACGCTTAAAGTGACAGGAAACATCAAGAAATGTACAAGGACTTGTATCCCTGAAGATCCTTGGAAAGAATTTCTACCAGAAACAAACAAACAAGCAGATATGTAACAATATTATCATTACCCCTTGAAGTTAGCTTTTTTACAAAAATGTATTGTTCCTTTAAAAAGCTGAAGTACAGGATGAAACAGGAATTACCAGCCAATATTAGATAACCAATAAATATTACAGTTGTCATTTCATTGTATTTAGAACTTGGTTATAAATACGAACTTCCTGTGTCTATTGAAACACTACATTAAGATATACAAGCAAACAAATAAAGAAAAAACTTTTCAAATAGGGAAGTAAATGTAGGCACAGAGAAGAATTAACATATAGCAGAATATATAACTATTCATTCACAGTTGAGTTTAATTTATCCTATTTTTGTCTGCTAACATTCTACTACACTGTGTGCATGTGCTATTATGTACGGATAATGCAAATGTCATCCCTATCTTGTTTGCATTGTTTTTGAAGGACTTCTATTAGCTATCCCTACATTTACTTCCTTTTTTTAAAAAGTTTTTTCTTTATATGCAAATGAATCAACTAGAGTTAAACCAATCAATTTCATGTTTAAGTCATGCATTTGTAAGACAAAGTAGAGAACCAAGTTCATATGTACATAACTATTTTAAAAATACTAATTACATAGAATTAAGAAATTATTGTTGGAAAATCACAAAATATTATAGGTAGAGAAATAGTAAGTGAAAAAAAAATGTATTATCAAATTTTAAAATATAAAATTTAAATAAAATCATTTGTGCTAAATGAATATTTTTATAGATATTAATAAGGCATATGAAATATTTATATAAATATTAACTAACTAAACAAAAAATTCAAGTTAATATATAAAACGTTATAAAACAAACATACTTAAGAAACTATGGATCATTAATAAAATCTCAACTTGATAAGGGGTAGAGATAAAATCTATAATAAGTATAAAAAATATCCCTTTAATAAATATTATGAATATAGTTTTAAAAATTCTACAAATAAAATTAATCAAAAGCTAAGAATAGGAAAAATAAATACTATAAAAATGAATTTTTAAAATGTGAAAGGAATTTAAAAAACAACAGAAGAGCATTTAATAAAAGGAGAAACAATAATTAAATGCTTTTATTTCCTATATGTAATAATGAAATGGAACTGTAATTATGAGTCTTAAAAAATCAGAAATCTAGCGTATGACAGAATTTCAGTAGGACAATAAAAAGAGTGTATAAGTTATATCATAGAATTATTGGTATGTATTTGCAATATATTTAGTACAACAGGGACCTTTTCCAGAGGAGCTAAAAAAAACCTATAATAATTACAACATACACAAAATGTGATAAAAATAATTATGTAAATTATTTACATGTACATTGTCATCAGTGTTTTCTGAAATGGTAAAAAAGCTAGTGAAAAGCAGGTTGACTAAATATTCAAATAAACAAACATTTGTCTCTAAGATTAATAAGAATTTAGATAAGAGTTAAATACTGAAGAAGCACAATTAAACTTTATACCATATATTTATGATTCCTTAATTAATGATAAAAACAACAGCACTGAGTGTAACATTGTAAAATTGTTCTTTTGTTGGCAAGCTCTTTGAAATTATCTGGTGAAAATAACTCAAAGTCCAGTCCAATTAATGATAACAAACTAATGTATTTCCTCCTTAATGTTTCTTTACAGACTTCTACATTTTGTAACTTATAAATTATAGGCCTAAGTAACATTACAAATGATGTTCAAATAGAAATACCTCAACCAATGTAAAAGAATAAATATATATGTACAACTTCATGGCTAATCAATCCAGTAATTGAGAACAAAAAACACCCTCTGACTGATTGTACTTTTGGATTTAGAGATGTTCTTTGATACAGTACCATATTGAATATTAGAAGATAAAATGGTAATTATAGAGAAAAGAAATATCATATCAAAACGGTTTGAATGGCAAATTGTAAGAATAAGTTTTGTACTTGAACACATTTTATTATAATATACATAAATGATTTATGTGATCTAAATTCAAATTGTAAAATTACTGTATTTATTGATGATACAGTATTAACAATTAGCTCTGTTAATATAAAACAATTAACATTTCAAAATGATTTGCAAACAGTTAAAATTTTAGTTTTAAACTAAATTATCTACTAACATAATTAAAGCAAATGTGTCAATTAATAAATTAAATTAATACATATGAAATGATTT